AATATGCTGACTCTGTAAACCGCTTAGAGAGGGCTGAAAGCCCTATAAAGCGGTATATAAGTCTAACTGCTAAACAAACTGATAGTGCTAGCTAGTTGGGTCATGAAACGTCTGCGAAAAGCCATCAAGTTTAGAGACCACCAAGGACCTCACTCTTCTGTCCTGAGCCACTAATATTCTCTTCTCCACAAATCGGCGCTTTAGTGCACTTTATTGGGAAACTAATTCTCCTTAGCCCCCCACCCCACCCCACCATCGATTGCACCCACCTCCTGGCCCAGTTCATGGGGAAGGGTCCCTTTGTGACGCCGGGCCTTTAGAACAGGCTATGCCATCTTTCTCTCAGCATCTTGCCAGAGGGATTTGGCATCGTGAATCATATTTCCTCTTGCCTCAACACTCAAACCTCATGACTGAGCCAGGAAGCGTGTGCAAATCACCCTCTGCCTCCCGCAGACAGATCCCAGAGGATCCCAGCCCGTAAAATTTAGTAGGGAAAAAAAAAATTCAAACTCAGAAACTCTCTTTCCACCCCCCCACCCCCCACATTAAACATTTTTATTGAGTTATAAAGTTAATATAAAATACAGTTCGGAAGCTCTTGGGAGCAATTAAAACCCCAAATTCCTTGTGGCTCTCCATACGGGAGATTTGGAAACAACGGTGGGATTGATCCCACTTTATAATCATCCATCCCAGCCAGCCTTCGGACTTGGCGCCGCAGCCGATAGCCTTTGAATATTTGAGAAAAGGAGATATCAGTAAGAGATTTGATTTTGGGGGGGGGGGGTAAGAACTGCTCCAGTGGATCTGAGAAGGTGGGGAGGGGGGGAAAGCCCATTTATCGTAATAGGCTTAGAAGAATGAAGGCTGCAGCTGTTCTCCAAATGCGGGGATTGCAGCTGGCCTCTTGCGTGGCTGGTTTTTCGGGGATTATATTGGGACAGGAGGCAAATCGGGTAGGCACCACGTGTATAAGGCTTTGATTTTTTTTAAAATGTCCATTTTTTGTCCGGCAGGGTGGTATAAACATCGGCCATCTGCTCACCCAGGAGACCGCTGACCCCTTATTTTGGCAAATATAGAAAGGATCATCCTCTTTTAACGACCATATAATTCATGGGTATCAAACTTGTGGCCCGTGGGCCAGACCTGTCACATGCTGCCCCCCCGACACCCGGTTTAGTGAAGGGGGAGGAAGTTCCGAAACGTCATGTGAAACCACAATGACGATGCGATTGTGACACCACTGCTGTAATCTCTTGCGGGGTGGAGTCTGGGCAATGGAATGGGGCAGAGTGTTTTACTGGCCCGATGCCTTTCCTGTCACCAGTGCGGAGTTTTTGTTCAGCAGATATATTCTCCCTTGTGCCCAGAAAGAGAGAAATATCTGCCTCTACCTAGGATCGAACTCACAGCCTCCCGATTGTGAGGGGAGAGCTCCAGCTCTAGGAGCCACTCTCCAGCACCACTCAAAATATAGAAAGGAAGATCTCATCCGAATTTGGATTTCTGTGCAGGCGATTCGGAGGGTGAAAGTCCCTCTCCCTAGCGATGCAAACTTTAAAATGTGTTGGTTTGGTTTGGTTTCTCAGACTCCTGCTCCAGGTGTAAACAGTTCTCCGATCCTGTCACAAAATACAATACAGGTAGTCCTTGACTTACAACAACTCGCTTAATGACCGTTCAAAGTTAACAGCGCTGAAAAAAGTGACTCATGACCGCTTTTCACGCACAGTATGGTCATAAGAGTGAAAAACGGTCATAAGTCAGTTCTTAGAGTGCCGTCGTGACTTTGGTCACTAAGTGAAGCGCTGTAAGTTGAGGACTCCCTGCATTAGGTACGTTCGTTGCCTTGAAGTTACCTATAAAGCAGGATTCAAAAAAAAAAAAAATAACAAACATCCGTTGTAACTTTGTATGGTCACTAAACAAACCGTTGTAAGTCGAGGAACGCCTGCATAGCAAGAACTGGTCCTTAGCCCCGTGCATTAAAGTCCAATCAACATTTAAAATACTTATTTCCCTTTTTATTGCACTTTCCCTTCTGAAAAATTCGAAGCAGAGTTCGTGTAACCGTTGGGACCTGGCCACTGTGAAAAATGTCCATAAGTCACTTTTTTCCAGAACCGTCGTAACTCTGAACGGTCACTAAATGAACTGTTGTAAGTCAAGGGCTTTTTTTATATATAATGCAACGCAATAGGCCTTGCTTAAGCGTTTAAATTTGAATTGTTATCTCTTTTTTTTTGCAAAACTCTCTCCCGCCTTGGGCAAAACCCAGCCTGCTCCGGGCTGATAAGGACTTCCAAGAAGTTGGGAGAAGCTGTTGCAAAGTCCCAGGGGCAGGATTTGAATTCCCCACCCCGCCATAAATGAAGGCTCCCGTTTCGTTCCCACATAAAGGTAGTCCTTGACTTACAACAGCTCACTCGGGGGGGCTGTTCAAAGTTACGACGGCCCTGAAAAAAGTGACAGGGTTGTTTTTCACACTTACGACCATTTGCAGCCCCCCCCCGTGATCACGTGATCCCCTTTTGCGACCTTATGACAAGTAAAATCCATGGGGAAGCCAGATCCACTTAACAACCATGTTACTAATTTCACAAATGCATTGTTTCGCTTAACAACCGTGGCATGAGAGGTGGTAAAACGGGGGGTTGGGGGGAATTCATTCAACAAGTATCTCACTCTAGCGACCGAAATTTTGGGCTCAATTGTGGTTGTAAGTAGAGGACTACCAGTACAGTGGCTAGGATAGCGTCCACGGAAATTTGGGGTTTCATTGTGGCCTAGAGGTAGTGCTCACAATCAGGAGGCTGTGCATTCGATCCTAGGTAGAGGCAGATATTTCTCTCTGGACACAATGAGAATGTATCTGCCGAACAAAACTCCGCATTGGCGACAGGCAACGGCATCCGGCCATGAAAACACTGCTAGCTCCATTCAGTTGCCCAGACTCCACCTTGCAAGGGATTATGGGGTTGTTAAAAGAGGATGCTGATCGTGGCCATAAGTCAAGGACTACCTATATTCTGTGGTTAATCTTTGGTAAGATTCACAGCCTTTGGGGCTGGTTGGTAGCTCAACAGCTCGAGTCCTAACCAAGGACCTAGGAACCGTTAAGGTAACGTCGGAGGATATCAGCTGTTCCAAGTAGGGTAGTTTTTTGTAGAATCAGAATGTTCAAGTCAGGTAAATTTAGAATTTCCAAATAGCGAGGTAGCCCTTTAGGTATTGCTCCAAGGACTCCAATTACAATTGGGACAACACATGATTTCTTTTTCCACAGTCGCTCAACTTCAATTTGCAAGTCCCGGTACTTTGTGATTTTTTTTCTTGCTGTTTATCTTCAATTCGTGCATCTCCAGGTATTGCAATGTCAATGAACCATACTTTTTTCTTGTGTGTTGTGGGCCAAGTGCCTGTCAGTCTGGATTCTGAAGTCCCACGAGATCTTGACTTTCTCATTCTCTCAAACCTTCTCAACCTGATGTTCCCAGTGGTTTTTGCTATCACATCTTTTCTGTATTCTTGTTCCGTCTGTTGGGCCTTCAGTAGATTTTTCTTCTTTACTTCGATTAATAGATGTTCTTGACTTTCTTTTAAATAATCAGCCAGTGCATGTTTTTCTTCTTCAACTGTTTGCTTCACTTGTAATAATCCTCTGCCACCTGATTTTTCGGGGCAGGTATAATCTATCAGTATCACCACGTGGATGTAAACTGTAGTGCATTGTCATTATTTTCCTGGTTTTTTGGTCCAAAAGGTCCAAATCAGCTTGTGTCCAGTTAACTATGCCAGCTGTGTATCTTATAACTGGTATTGCCCAGGTATTTATGGCCCTGATTCTATTTCCACCATTCAATTTAGATTTCAAAATTTTCCTAACTCTGTTAGTTGTTGTTGTTGTTGTTATTATTATTATTATTATTATTATTGTAGTTTACAAGCTCCTCAATTTGGGGCAGTAATAAATCAAAACTTTCCAGATGGCAGACCCTGAGAAAGGGAAGCGGCTTCCAGCATCCTAGTAAATAACATGGTTTAATCAAAGGAACCTCCTGGGCCAAACCTTCAGGATCAAATTACCTGGACAGGTGTTATCAAAGACGGACACGCCCCCCCCCCCCAGGTAACCAGGCCCCATGCCCTGGAGGGCTTTATAAGTAGCAACCCGCACCTTGAATTGCACCCGGAAGCAAACTGAGAAACCCAAGGATATGTAAAATCTATAATACAGGAGGTCCTTGATTTACAACAGTTCATTTAGTGACCATTCAGTGTTACGACAGCACTGAAAAGGGTGACTTACGACTGTCGCACGCCCGTTGCAGCATTCCCACGCTCACGGGATCCAAATGATTGGCAACTGGCGTGAACCTATGACGGTTGCAAAGTCCCGAGTCTTGCGCGATCCCCTCTGGCGACCCTCCCGACCCGCGAAATCAACGGGGGGGGGGGAAGCCCTGTCGCTAGCTTAGCAAACTGCAGGGGTTCGCTTCGGGCGTGTGGCCAGAAAGGTCGTCAAGTCCGTGCCGTCGTAACTTTGAACGGTCGCGAAATGAGCCGTTGCGCGCCGCGAACCCCCCTGGGAGAGAGCTCTGCCGAAGACCCGGCGCTCCGAAGGGTTTGTGAGGTGGGTCCTGACGGCTTCTCCTCCTCCTCCTCCTCTGCTTTCCTTCCCCTGCAGCAGTAACCATTCATGGAGGAACATACGGTCACGCAGACCGAGCACATGGCGACCATAGAGGCCCACGCGGTGGCCCAGCAAGTCCAGCAGGTCCACGTGGCCACGTATACGGAGCACAGCATGCTGAGTGCCGACGAGGATTCCCCCTCTTCGCCCGAGGACACGTCCTACGACGACTCGGACATCCTCAACTCCACGGCCACCGACGAGGTGACAGCCCACCTGGCCGCTGCAGGTAGGTTGGCTCCGCTGGATTCTGGCTGCCTTCTTTTGAGACACACCTGGGGGGGGGGGGGGAGGGCAGGTGGAGGCACACAGGACCCTTTCCCAGCCCCCTCCTTCAAGAGGGTGTGGCAACAATTTTTTTTTTTTTTGAAGTTTCCTGCTTTTTGACATCTTATTCAGCCAAGACCTGGGAAGGGGTCTGGCAAAGACCCTCAAAATTAGAAACATGGAAAACTGACAGTGATTGATCAAGACCCCCCTTTGAATTTTGTGGTTTTGTTGTTCTATCTATCTATCTATCTATCTATCTATCTATCTATCTATCTATCTATCTATCTATCTATCT